TAAAGGTCACCTGCTCACGCATTTTCCCCTCCTCACCTGTGCTGCTTACCTGAGAGAGAAGATGAGGTAATTTATATTTGATTACCACCATAAATTTGTATTTCTCATCCTCAGTTATTATCTTAAATAAACTATACACATTTCATACAAAATTTACATACATATATACATTTCACATCTTATAATACAGGTAAATTCTTCTCACCTGTAATATTCTGATTTAAACAGTTAATAAAAAAGTAATTCATTTTATCTCTGTCTGTTTCTGTTGTTCCTTTAGGTCAGTATTTATCAAGTATTGTTGCAGTTATCCAATCGTTTTCTTTTCTATGGTGTTTCGTGGGATGCTGTGGGGTCAGTGTGTGTGTGTGGGGGAGATGGAGGGAATGTGTGGGTGTGGGAGAGAGAGAGAGAGAAAGAGAGAGAGAGAAAAAGAGAGAGAGAGAGAGAACCCTCCCTCCCCCCCAAAAAAATATTTCATTACTTACAACGTCTTACGAATTCAACTAGCATTCAGACTTGTTTACACGCCCCTGTGGGAGAGACTCTTTCCTAACTGATCGATCCGCTGAGAACTTTTTTTTCCTTACCCCCCTCCCTCTTCCCCTCCCCCTGACCTCCCTTCCCCTTCACCCCCTTCCCTCCCCCTACCACTGCTCGTTCGGCGCTGCCATTCGTACGATTACACCTGTCATTAAAACCATCAATAACCAATTCTCCCCCGTTAGTCTTTTTTGCCTGTCTCTTTCAACACCTGTTCTCTCTCTCACCTGTTGAGGAAATTGACACACAGAGGTTGAATTCTCTCAGTGTCGTGTTTTCTCTCTCTCTCTCTCTCTCTCTCTCTCTCTCTCTCTCTCTCTCTCTCTCTCTCTCTGAAGGGATTTGAAAGGTGAAGTGATTTAATCGAATAGTAATCAGAAAAGGATTATCTAGTGATGAAAATATGTGGAGTATTTTTTTTATTATTTTATATTGGATTTTCTTATACGTGTATGGTAGGATAGATTTTGTTTGTTTGTGTGTTTCTGTGTCTGTCTGTTTTTTTCTCTACCTCTCTTAATTTATCTGTTTGTTTATTACCCCCTTTCTCTCTTTCTTAATCTATCTATCTATCCAGAGAACGAAAGGAGAGAGGAGAAAGGGATCTGATGTTTACGTGTTCCCTTAGATGTTCAACAATATTTTCCATTGTCAAACCCTTCACCCTCACCCCCTTCCCCACCCATCACCCTCACCCCCTTCCCCACCCTTCACCCTCACCCCCTTCCCCACCCTTCACCCTCACCCCCTTCTCCACCCTCTTCCACACCCCCCACCCTTCCCCACCCTCTTCACCCCCCCCTCTCCCACCTTCCACCCCACCCTTCCTCTTCCACCCATCACCCTCACCCCCTTCCCCACCCTTCACCCTCACCCCCTTCCCCACCCTTCACCCTCACCCCCTTCTCCACCCTTCACCCTCAACCCCTTCCCCATTTTCCCCCTTTTGAGTCTCCGTCAAGCCGATTATCACTCAGTCCTAAAGGTGTGTTGGTGCTTTCTAGAGAGTCCAGTGTGGTGTGTGTGTGTGTGTGTGGTACTTTCTAGAGAGTCCAGTGTGGTGTGTGTGTGTGTGTGTGTGTGGTACTTTCTAGAGAGTCCAGTGTGGTGTTTTCTAAGTTGGTGTTCCCATAGACTTACTCTGTCACTTTCAAAATAATCTCTCTCCTTTGTTTTGATGTTGTGTTACTTTCTCTCTTTCTCTGTCTATCTATCTCTCTCTCTTTCTTTCCTTCATTCTTGCTTTCTCAAACGAATGTCTCAACCCTAAGCACAGCACACGCTATTCGGGACCTTCTGGCTCTCTGTATAGCACTGTCTACCCCCTCCCACACCCACCATCTCCCCAGATCTCCTTATATCACCAGTGTCCTCCCCTCCTCTCCCGTACCCTCACCCATCCCTCCCCTCACTTTCTCTCCTTCCCTCTCTCTCCCGTTTCTCCTTTCCCCTCACTCTCCCTCTCTTCCCATTACTTTCATTTCCCCTCACTCACCCTCCCCTCACCATTTCTTCCCATTATTCTTCCTTCCTTTACACTCTCCTTCCATCATCCCCTTCTATACTTTCCTCTCCCTTACTCTCTCCTCTCACTTACTCCCCCTTCTCTTCCCTCACTTACTCTCCCTTTCCATTCCCTCATTCTTTTCTCCCTCTCTTACTCTCCCTTCTCTGAGGACCTTATCTGTAGGATCTACCACCATTCCTGTCACCACCACGATCCGGGACCAACGAGATGGTCAACCTAACCACAATTACCACCACCACCATAATTACCACCACTACCACCACCATAACCACCAACAGCAGTAATTTCGTTTCTTTCGTTCTCTCTGTTATCTTGGCGGTAAATGTTTCCTTAATAAGACGGTGGACAATAAAACAGCTATTTACCAATGATGTGATGCTGTGTTTTAATGCTGTTATTGCGGTATGTCGTGCTGTTTTAATGCTGTCCTACTATCCTCTATGCTGGTCTATACTGTGTTTTAAGTTTTAACCGAAGACTCTCTGTTTTAAATCTGTGATGGTGTTTTATACTGTGTTTTAATCCTGTTTTGACCTTATCTTAAAACATGCAAGAGAAAAAAAAACACACATCCATTTTCTATGAACGATGGGGGACAGGACTAAACATTTTACAGCGGTACATAAAATAATAACAGGTTCGGGGGAATCTTGCCTAACAGCTTAATAACTACATATATAAACTTTCTATACACTCTATGTACTTGTTACGTATTATAGTACAGGTTTAGATCGTTTCTATATGTGCTATGATTGTTATAGCTCCTAAAAGATGTAATTATATGTCATTAATACTTTGCAATTAATCGGGTCACTGAAAATACCTGTACTTGGGGTGATCGATAAATTTCAGAATGAACACTGTGACTCCTGTTGTCTCGGTAGGGTTGTCAAAATCCTTCGTCCGTTTTGGCATATTTTTTCAACTCAATTTTGGGTAGATAGTTTTTTGGGGTAACTGAAGGTAATTTTTTCTTCAGATGGTCAACTAATTTTCATATAAATTTTACTTTCTTAACTAATTTAATTTATATTTGTAATAATTTTTTTCAGGCGGAGTAAATTATCCCAATCAATTTAAATTTCAGTAATAATTTCTCTTAACTTTTTACAATTTACGTTTATGATTTACATGGGTAGATAAATAGGTTCTAATCTCATTTTCGCTTTCGTTTACAATTTCAATTATCATTTGTTTACAATTTGTGTTTATAATAATGTTATATTTATAGGGTGAATTAATTACAGTATTTAAATCATAATATTGGTCCCATTTACAATTTCACTTTGAAATTTACAAACTGATTTACAACCGAATTTACAAACCAATTTATAACCTAATACAACCCTACTAACATCCTAATTTACAAGCTTATTTACAACCTATTACATCCTTATATGTTTTGCTTTCTTTTTCTGGAGTAAATAATATGTTTCTACCTTAATTTGCTTTTATAAATAAGAATAATATACATGTTAGGCTCAGTAAATGACTCAGACAAACACGAGGATGACGTCCCCGCTGGTCAGAGGTAATGTGAACTGACCCTGATCACGGAAGTCAGAGGTGGAGGTTAATCTAATTGGATTACCTGAAGATTAGCGATTATGACTTATTTCACTTTGAGATTGATCACTGTAATGTTAACTTAACCTAACCTAACGTAATTTCAGTTCACCTAAAGTTAACCTAACTAACCTAATATAATTAATCTCTAACCTAACACTAACTAAATCCACCTAACCCAATGTAATTTAACCTAACACTAATCCAACGTAACGTAACCTAACCTAACCAAACCCAGCAGGTAAGAATCCAGAACTTTAATTATCAGGTGAAATAAGCTAGGTGGGCTAATTGTCAGGTGTTTTCTTGTTTCTATGTCACCTACACAAAAAAAATTTATACACGTGGGTCGTTATTATTTATTTATCCTTTGCATGTTGAGAAAAATATCCCCAAACACGTGATATTTTCCCTTAATTATGACCTGAATAAAATAGATCAAGAAAAAAACGTCAAATTCGTATGTAATTATTTAAATATTTATGTTTATATGTAAATGTAATGGAGAATAGTTATTATTAATTATTTCATTTATTTTTTTACGTCAGAGAGAGAGAGAGAGAGAGAGAGAGAGAGAGAGAGACTTTCACAATTACTGTATACTTTACACACTGTTCCTGATGCACTGTAACACTATTCTTGGTATACACTGAAACACTATACCCTTGTACTTGATATACTGTACCACACCACTACATTTATACACTGTACCATAAGCACCACCAGTAAGGCACCATCACACTTTATCTCACACAGTTTAGTAAGACAATCAACATTTTACAGGGAAATACCGAAGTTGTTACGGTCGGAAGCTGGCTCACAGTGAGGGCCGGTCCAAGATGCTGTTACGATTACTTTAATGGTCTGCCCAATAAATATCGCTAGTATTCTACGTAGTCTGGCGTCACAAGAACTACACAACCAGTGGAAATGGCCACGACTGTGTTAGGATTAGTTTAATGGTCTTCCCTTGAAACATTGCCAGTATTTAACGGCGACAGAAGTACTTTTATTGGTCTGCACTGTAAATATCGCCAGCAGTACACAGACCGTTGTAAGTTGAAGATTGTAAAAGAACAACTTCATGGCCTGCCCTCTAATTATCGACAGTATAAGATATAAAATTTATGGCCTTAGTATCAAACATGATAGGCCTACCCTCTAACTATCGCCAGTATAAGATATAAAATTTATGGCCTCAGTATTAAACATGATAGGCCTACCCTCTAACTATCGCCAGTACTTAACATAACATTAAACAATGAATATATAAAAATCATGACCAGTATAGACACAGGTAAACAGACACTGGCGATAATTATAGGGCAGCCCCAGAGAGAGGGCGGGGGAGAATCACACTTACGATGGTGATGCCGCCGATAAGGACACAGCCCTGACGGAGGGAGAGGCAGCAGCAAGTGTTGACCTCGCACATGTTGGGGCCGTCAGGTCAAAGGTCACGTGAAGTTCATGCCTCTCTGAAGGGTCGCCCGCTGTTTAGGTGGGGTCACAGTGGCTGATGTTACAGGGTCAGGTCACATACCCTGTCTGGTAGTTGCTTCATCGTGCCAAATGAGGTCAAGGTCAAGTTAAGTCATACCCTAATTGGTAGTTTCTTGTTTATTCTATAAGAAACGTAGGTCAGCTTCCAGAGGTCATCTACGTTATACCCCAGTTAGGTTAGGTTTTTCAGGTTTGGTTAGATTAGGGTACCTCCGGAATACCTTCATTATTACACCAAAGAAGAATAAGTCCCTCCCTCCTCAAGCCAATGTCACGGGTCAAACGAGGACTTGACCCAATTTGATGAATTATAACCTGTCCGAGGTCAAGAACAGGTCATCGCAGGTCAGAGGTGAGTGCGTGTGTGTGTGTCTCGGAACGCCCTGGTCACCTGTGAGAATAAAATAAATATATTAGTTACTTGACTTGTCTTCAGAATTTAATATTGATAATGGTAATGAAATAATAATAATGAAAGACTTTTATTAAGGCTCTCTCTCTCTCTCTCATTCGTGTACATAAAAGTATAGATAATTTCCACCAATCGACAAACTTTCAGACAGAATACAACGAGAATATCCAGTTCACGTCTACAAACTGAGATACAAGTTAACTTACACGTTCTTCCACCTGTCTCCCACCCCCACCCCAATACCTCATTGAATCACCTGAAGATTAGCCCTCCTGATGCTTATTTCACCTTCAGAATAACTCCCTTAGCGCTGACCTAACTTAACCTAACCTTAACACTAACCTTACAGAACCTAAACTTAACACTAAACTAACCTAACTTAACCTTACCTAACCTCTACTGACGTCACCACTCAGGTAGGAATGCTTAGATAACTTTTACATTAATTTAAGAGATTTTTAACAAAGATTTTAAGCTACAACTATTTTTTCCTGTTTTATCTATTTTTTTTTTACGTCAAATAAGAACAGTGAAGAGATGGAACTCGTGGGATCAGGGTTGTCTGTTAAGTAAGCTTAGGTGCACCAGCAGCTCTATGTACGTGACCGTTCTCTCGGCCACTCACTGCTGCTGGAGACAAAATTGATTTACGGTGACGCAGCCTTGTGTACCGGTGGCTAGTACTTGTTTCTTTGTTGACGGTATTTATCAACACATACAGACAGACAGACAGACAGACAGAGTATAAACATGAGTGTGTGACTGTGTGTGTGTGTGTGTGTGTGTTTATGTGTGCCTGTGTTTTGGTATATGTGTTTGTATATGTTTGTGTGTTTATATATGTGTATGTGTGTATATCTATGAGTGTTTATGCGTGTGTATGTATGCATAATTTTGAACAAAATAACAAAATATTAACTCAAGGATAATCCCCAAAACATTACTCCCCCATTTAAACTTTATCCACGGACAAAATCACCATCTTTCTGTGACTCCATTTTTTCCTCTAAACTTTAACGAATAGTCGCCTAAGTTTAACAATGTCCTGCTGTCAAGTAACCCGATCACTGGTTAAAACTTTCTTCTTTCTTTCAGACTAGTTTTTTTTAAGTCTGAGCTCTGGAGGACGAACAGACAGACAGACAGACAGATACAACCATACATACAGACAGATACAACCATACATACAGACAGACAGATACAACCATACATACATACAGACAGATACAACCATACATACAGACAGACAGACACAACCATACATACAGACAGACAGACAGATACAACCATACATACAGACAGACAGATACAACCATACATACATACAGACAGATACAACCATACATACAGACAGATACAACCATACATACAGACAGACAGACAGATACAACCATACATACAGACAGACAGATACAACCATACATACAGACAGACAGACAGACAGACAGATACAACCATACATACAGACAGACAGATACAACCATACATACATACAGACAGATACAACCATACATACAGACAGACAGACACAACCATACATACAGACAGACAGACAGATACAACCATACATACAGACAGACAGATACAACCATACATACAGACAGACAGATACAACCATACATACATACAGACAGACAGATACAACCATACATACAGACAGACAGATACAACCATACATACAGATGCAGACAGATACAACCATATACAGACAGATACAACCATACATACAGACAGATGATACAAATCCATATACATACAGACAGACAGACAGGAGCAACTAGATATACAGACAGACAGACACAACTACTATACAGATACATACAGAGACAGACAGATGCACCATACATACAGACAGGTATAGATATACAACCATACATACAGACAGACAGATACAACCATTACAGAGACAGACAAATCCAGCATATACAGACAGACAGATACAAACAACCATACATAAGACAGAGATAAGCAAACTAGTATACATACAGACAGACAGATACAACCATACATACAGACAGATATGAACCATACATACAGACACAGATACAACTATACATACAGACAGAGACAGAGATAAATCCATACAGACAGACAGACAGACAGATACAACCATACATACAGAAGACAGAGCAACCATACATAAGCAGACAGAGACAACCATACATACAGACAGACAGATACAAACTATACATACAGACAGACAGACAGATATGTCCATATATACAGACAGACAGATACAACCATACATAAGCAGACAGACAGACAAGCCAAACCCATACATACAGACAGAGCAACCATATACAGACAGACAGATACAACCAAGATTACAGACAGAGACAGATAAACACAAACCATACATACAGAAGAGACACAGATACAACGCAAGTATACAGACAGACAGATACAGGATAAACTTACATATATACAGACAGACAGATAAACCATATATACAGACAGATACAACCATACATACAGACAGGAGACAGATAAGCAAAATCTATATATGACAGACAGACAGATACAACCATATACAGACAGACAGAACACACAACCATACATACATAAAGCAGAGCAGTATAGATACAACCATACATACAGACAGACAGACAGATACAACCATACATACTGACAGACAGATACAACCATACATACAGACAGATACAACCATACATACAGACAGACAGACAGATACAACCATACATACAGACAGACAGATACAACCATACATACAGACAGATACAACCATACATACAGACAGACAGATACAACCATACATACAGACAGACAGACAGATACAACCATACATACAGACAGACAGATACAACCATACATACAGACAGACAGACACAACCATACATACAGACAGACAGATACAACCATACATACAGACAGACAGATACAACCATACATACAGACAGACAGATACAACCATACAGACAGACAGATGGGCCTAACTTACCCTAACCTAACTATAACATACCATAACATAACTATACCTTAACCTTAACCAAACACTAACCTAACCTAACCTTGCTTCATCGGGTAATACTATCAACGTGTATTGATCATCGGAACACAAGGCCTGGGGAAAAAAATAAATATATATAACATGATTGGCTACGATCAGGCGAGGGCACTTAACTTCCAAGGCTACGTTTAACCTAGTGGAGAGTCCGGCCTGCATACACACACACACACACTTTGTAAGTTATAGAGTTATGACAACATTTCACCAACAACCATTAAGGTCATTGAGTGTGTAATTATGAAGGGGGGTGATATTAGTCCATCAACAATTACAAAAACAATTTGCAGGATGCAGAATTCTTTCCTTGTTGACCCCTCCCCCCCCAAAAAAGTTACAGCGGTGGTGGGTCAGAACCGGCCACATTAATTTCCGGAATCGAACCCTACAGGAATCGGATCGGAATTTCATACTAAAACATGGGCTAAATTATGCAATGTCAGGGGTTTGGTTAGGTTAGGTTAGGTTAATTTAGGTTAGTGTAGGTAAGATTAGATTAGTGTTAGGTTATAATTACCACATATTTTGACTAGTCTATTAATCTCACTAATACGTACAATATATATTCACCATAAAAACAGCAACCACTCCCCTCATAACCCCCCCCCCTCCCCTCTCTTAATACTGTACGATAGTTTAGGGAGGGATGACTTGCAGTACTCTAGGGTCTCTTTCCTGATTGGTCCCCCTCTTGCTGGACATTACTGGCGGGCGTATGGTATAACCTCTAACCTCCCCCTTTACCACTGCAATAATCTCTGGTCACCTACTATGGAAACACTCTGGGGTGGTATTATCTCATGTGCTGGGTATGATGATGTTGGGTGCTTAAAAATGGTGATTGGAGTGAGTTTATGTATTAGACAGTCAGATAGACACACGTAGGAAGGTTTTTGTATATATTAAACTTTTCTATCTGTGTGTCTGTTTGTTTGTCTGTCTAATCGTGAAGGGATTAACAGACATATTTATGTAGGTTATCGTCTGTGTTTGTCTATTATCTTCCTGTCTGTCTGTCTGTCTAATCGTGAATCGTCAGAAATATACGGGAGATATATGCCGATACGGGACGGGTAGGGTCGATCACAGAAGTTACAAGTGTAGGGAGTTACATCTAGTGCGGGAGGGGCGGTGGCAGCGTCTTTCCGCCGTGGCGCTTGTCTGCCTCGTTATGCAGTCGGGCTAACTCGAAAGTATTGACACCTTCTTGTTTGGTGCTCCTCCAAGCGTTACGGTGTGGAGTAATCGTCTCCCATGTGAGGGGGTCGATTTGGTACTTTTTCAGGTTTGTCTTAAGACTATCCTTATACCTCTTCAGTTGGCCGCCAGCATTACGTTTACTATTCGTCAGGTGGCTGTAAAGTAGCTGCTTTGGCAGTCTATTGTCGTCCATGCGGGTAACATGGCCAGTCCAGCGTAGTTGTTCATGGATAATGGTTGCCTCGATGCTCCTACAGTTGGTGTCAGCAAGAATACCACCCACACACAGCACCAATACCACACAGCACCAATAGCCACCCACAGCACCAATAACCACCCACAGCACAATAACCACCCACACACACCAATAACCACCCACACTGGCACCAATAACACCCACACACAGCACAATAGCCACCCACACACAGCGCAATAGCCACCCACAGCGCCAATAACCACCCACACACACAGCACCAATAACCACCCACACACAACAATAACCACCCACACACACAGCACAATAACCACCACACAGCACCGTAACCACCCACACACAGCACCAATAACCACCCACACACACAGCGCAATAACCACACACACAGCACCAATAGCCACCCACACACACAGCGCAATAGCCACCCACACACAGCGCAATAACCACCCACACACAGCACACCAATAATACCCACACACAGCACCAATAACCACCACACAGCACCAATAACCACCCACAGCACCAATAACCACCCACACAGCGCAATAACCACCCACAGCACCAATATTACCCACACATACCAATAACCACCACACACAGCACCAATAGCCACCACACAGCACCAATAACCACCCACACACACCAATAACCACCCACACAGCACCAATAACCACAACACACAGCACCAATAACAACCCACACAGCACCAATAACAACCCACACACAGCACCAATAACCACCCACACACAGCACCAATAACCACCCACACACAGCACCAATAACCACCCACACACAGCACCAATAACCACCCACACACAGCACCAATAACCACCCACACACAGCACCAATAACCACCCACACACAGCACCAATAACCACCCACACACAGCACCAATAACCACCCACACACAGCACCAATAACCACCCACACACAGCACCAATAACCACCCACACACAGCACCAATAACCACCCACACACAGCACCAATAACCACCCACACACAGCACCAATAACCACCCACACACAGCACCAATAACCAGAAACTAGACTTGATGCAGCGACGAATTAACCACATATGAATAGGTATTGGCTAAGGACATATGGGGCCCCAACCCTTTTAAGCCCCAACCTAACCAACCTGAGGCACCCACTATATACAGAGATAGTGAAGAAAATAGATTAAGCGAGATAGTAGGGACTAGTAACGACGTTAGTAAGAAAATAGACAAGCGAAAGCCAAATAAGTCGCCAGGTCCCGATGAGATATTTGCCAAAGTATTAAAGGGATGTAAGGAAGAGCTTAGTATGTCCTTAGCAAATTTGTTTAACATATCCTTAAAAACGGGTGTAGTACCAAAATCCTGGAGGATAGCGAATGTAATACCGATTTTCAAGAAGGGAGATAGATCACTATCCTCTAACTACCATCCAATCAGCTTAACATCAATTGTAGGCATATTACTGGGAGCAATAATTTCAAACTCTATTTGAAATCACCTGGAGAAGCATAAGTTGATCAATGATTCCCAACATGGCTTCACAAGCGGGCGTTCATGTCTAACTAATCTATTAACATTCTTTTCAGCTGTTTTCGAATTCGTGGACGAGGGGCACGACTATGATGTGGTATATCTTGACTTTAGTAAAGCCTTCGACAGAGTCCCCCACAAAAGACTAAAAAGAAAAGTGGAGGCTCATGGCATTGGAGGAGATATTCTAAAATGGATTAGTGCGTGGTAACAGGCCAGGAAACAGCGAGTGAGCATTAACGACACTAAATTCGATTGGAGTAACGTCACTCGTGGAGTACCCCAAGGCTCAGTACTAGAACCATTATTATTTATTATATACATAAACGACATAGATATCGGCGTAGACAGCAACATAAGTAAATTTGCTGATGACACTAAAATAGGGCGTGTAATTAAATCTGACGAGGACTCAGCAAAACTACACGAAGATCTAAAACAAAAATGAATAGTCTGAAAAATGGCAGATGAAATTCAATGTGGACAAATGTAAAGCACTTAGTCTAGGATATGTAAACAGAGAAACCAGATATCAGATGAACAACGATGTTATAGAGAAATCCGAATGTGAGAAAGATTTAGGTGTAATGATAAGTAGGAACCTTAAGCCAACTAAAAAAAAAATATTTGCTCGAAACAAGGCTAATAAAGTACTTGGGTTCATACAAAGGAGTGTTAGTTACAAGACTAGAGAGGTCATCCCAAAACTATATCTTGCGCTTGTGAGACCTCACTTGGATTACGCAGTTAAATTCTGGTCACCGTATTAAAGAATGGATATTGAAACCCTAGAAAGAATTCAAAGGAGAATGACAAGACTAATCCTGGTCATTAGGAACCTTGAGCACAGAGACAGGTTAAAGCATCTTAATTTGCACTCCCTCGAGAGACGTAGAGTGAGGGGCGATATGCTAGAGGTGTATAAATGGAAGTCAGGGCTAAACAAAGGGGACATAACAAAGGTACTCAAACTATCCAACCAGGAGCGAACTCGTAACAATGGTTTTAAATTAGACAAATTTAGATGTAGGCGCGAAATAGGTAAACATTGGTTTGGAAATTGAGTAGTGGGTGAATGGATCAAGTTACCAAGCATCATCATTAACTCGAATACGCTGGATAGCTTCAAGCATAGGTTGGATGGATATACCGTATGAGCGATAGGGGTTGGGTGTAAATGGGACTGCCCAGTACGGGTCAAAAGGCTCGCTGCAGTTTCCTCCATTCTTATGTTACCATGGTATACAGGACACACACACACAATCAAGAACCAGCTGAGTTACAACACTAAAGAGTACCAATACTTGCAGTACAGTATAGAAATTCAATGAACTGTATATACCCAGCTTAAGGGGAGCATTAGGTGAAGGAGTGCTCATATTTAATACACACACTAAATTACGTATATTTAACGTAAGGAGACGAAATTATGTTGGAAAGGTGATATTAGACTATCTTATTTATAATGTGTTTCTTTATTTTTTTAGGAGATTGTTAGTGGATAGTTAAATGAAGTGAGTGGCAGTTAATGACCCTGGTAGTTGGAGTACCTTAAAACTAAGACCTATAGTGGATGGTAGTTAATGATCCTGGTAGTTGAAGTAATTAATAACAAATAATATGTTTATTTTTGTTGTTGTTTTTGTTTAAATATACATTGACAGATAATAGATTCTAGTTCAACCTAACCTACACCTGACCTAACCCAACTTAACTTTTCCTGCACCTCACATAACTTAACCTAACTTATCCAAACCCTAATCTATCACTAACATAAGCTAATTTAACTTAGCTTATTCTTAACCTAACCTAACCTAACCAATTCCACTGGTTTTGTTTGTCCATTTGGGAGTGAGGGAGGTGGTGAAGGAGACGAAGAAGGTGGTAACGATGAGGGAGATGGGACGATGTTCATGGGTACCTCATTAATTATCAACAGGTGTTCAACGTGGGTTCACTGACCTCCAAGATTAATTAAAATGAGTCTTTGTCGAACACCGAGATCACTTACCTGTATTTTATTTGGTAGTACTTTATTTATTTCTGTCTGTCTGTCTATACTACTACAACTGCCCCGGAGTAATACTCTTTTGTGATTAACGAAGGGAATAATGGCACTGTCAAACTACACCAGACAGACAGACAGACACCTACACGCACACTCATTGGTGGGGACCGCTCATACAATACATAATATATATTAATATGTAGGTTAATGTCCCTCATACGCATACATACACGTACGCAGGTGTTATTCATACACACTCAGACACATACACACTCTTTCTCTCTATCATACACACACACACAAACGCGCGCCAAGACCATGTAGTTATCGTTAGCCGGCACTTGTACGCAGCTGTCACACACACACACACACATACACACACACACACACACACACACACACACGCACACACACACACACACACACACACACACACACACACACACACACATCTCTCGCTTCCACCACTTGTTCGTGACAGCGTGTTCAGCTTATAGGGGTAACACACTTCACCCACCGGAGGACACTTCAGGGTTCAGCTGGGGCGTGGTTACAGTGGTAGTAGTCCTGGCACAACCTGGGCGCTTCACGGAGGAGACGAGTGAGAGAGAGAATGACAAGAGAGAGACAGAGAGGCTGGGATGGATCGCGTCCACACTCACCGCCGTTCTGTACACGACTGAGTCTCCTGAACCACTACCTCCTCTTTCTCCCCTCGTCCCTCTCCCTCCCTCCCTCCCTCCCTCCCTCACTCCCTCACTCACTCACTCCCCCGCGCTACCCTCACACACTCTCTCTCTCTCTCTCTCACACACACGCAGATATGACCACCGCCCTCACTCTCACAACGCTCTCTTTCGCTTTTCTCTTTGTTCGTCTAAAGTTGATCGTTTTCACTTTTCGTTTGCCGATGCTCATTTTTTTTCCTCCCCTTGTTGTACCCCGACGTCCTGGGAAGTGGAATATACAAACACATATCTCCTGTCTGTTTGTCTGTCTATCTGTGAGTCTGTCTGTCTGTCTATCTGTGAGTCTGTCTGTCTATCTATCTGTGAGTCTGAGAGTTTATCAGGACGATGACTTAAGCTAGAGGTGAATCTATCGTCCTCATCAACTCTCTTTCCCTCAACTTCCTCCTCCTATGTTTTTCCGACCTCCTTCACCATCTCTCTCTCACTTCCCTCCCCCTCCCACCTCCCCCTCCCACTGTGGCACCACCTGGACAATTTACATAATGTTAAGGCTTTTATTCGCCGTATTGATCACGTATTGAAAAATTCTGGCAAATTCGACCCTCCTTCCTCCCCTCCCCTCCCCTCCTCTTCATCCCCTCCCTCCCTCCCCTCTCCTATCATAATTTATGGATCTTGTTTTATGGGGATGGGAGGTAGGGGGACATGGGGAGGGTTCATGATGATGGGGGGGAAGATGGTCCAAGAAGATAGGTAATGGGGATGAGCATCTTGCTATCCCGGGGGGTGATGGGGTTGGATGATGGGACCTGTTACCATGACAACGTTATTAAGCTATCATCGGGTTACGTCATATCCAGCAGGGGAAGGCTTATGATTGGCCGAGCCTCTGAGGGAACGTATTCGATTCCCAGGATTAACAAGGTCAAGGGTGTATATATAACCCTGGGAAAAGAACCATTTATTTCTTCATTCCCAGTATTAGATTAAAAAACCTTTATCATATTGGGGAATATATATATAGATATGAGTGTTTATTTGCTTCCTAGGATGAACAAGATGCTGAGTTCTTTTATCCTGGAAGAAAAATAGCACTAAATTTGCTTCCCAGGATGAATAAGGTGCTGAGTGTCCTTTATTCCGTAAGAAAAAAATAGCTGTATATTAACCTCCCAGGATTAGTAACGTGTGAGGTATATTAAATTAGGGAAAAAATGCTGTTAGCATAGACCTCGTAACAATGGTTTTAAATTAGATAAATTTAGATTTAGGCGTGATATAGGTAAACACTGGTTTGGAAACAGAGTAGTGGATGAATGGAACAAGTTACCAAACATCACCATTAACTCGAATACGCTGAATTGCTTCAAACATAGGTTGGATGCTCATATGAGCAATAGGGGTTGGGTGTAAACGGGACTGCCCAGTATGGGCCAATAGACCCGCTGCAGTTTCCTCCATTCTTATGTTCCTATGTTCTTATGTGTTGGTCGGGGTACAGCTGTTAACATGGACCTCACAGTGTGTTGGTCGGGGTAGAAAGATGAACATTTTACAGCTGACTCTCACAGCCATACCAACACACACTCAAAAACCAACAAGGCAATAAAACGTGACCTTTTGATCCCTGAAAACTGTAGTGTAGCGCCGCTGTAAAAAGTAGTCCTTTGGAATTGGAATTGGACCATTACACACACACACACACACACACACACACACACACACACACACACACACACACACACACACACCTTTTCATTCTGTAAACTAAATTACTCTATTTTGTGTTTCTTTAATACATAAACGTTGAAATAATATATTAAACATTATTTTTCTCGACTGTGTATTATACGAGTCTATCAGTGAACTGTGTGAGAGTCTTCCTGTGCATGTGTTCAGAGATACATACAAACACACACACATACACACACACAAACACCGGACACACAGGGACACACACACACACGCACCAGACAGAACGTTCAATACATCAAATAAGTGTGTGTGTGTGTGTGTGTCTTCAGAAGTAAATAAAATCCAGAATTTACACAGACTATTATCAGTCAGGCCTTGAGACGCTGTTTTAACCAAATTGTCTCTGTGTCCAAGAGATCACGGAGAGATTCTATGAGATGCTACCCAGACACACCAGCCAAGAGAGATTGTGTCCTACGGTATGGAGATAGTCCCCTTCCCCCCCCCACCCCTCCCTCCTCCCCCACCCCCACTCATCCCACACCTCCTCCACCCCCTACCCTCCCCCACTCCCCACCTCTTCCCCACCCCCCACTCCTCCCCTACTCCTTTCCCCACCCCCTACTCCTCTCCCACTCTTCCCCCACCTCCACCTCCCCCACCCCATCCTCCCCACCTTCCCCCACCCCTACCCTCTCCCACCCCCACCCCCACCTCCCCCCCCACCTCCACTCTTCCCCACCCTCCACTCCTCCTCCCACCCCCCACCCTCCCCCACCCCCACCTCCCCCACCTCCCACCCCCCCACCTCCACCTCCCCCACTCCCCACCCCCCACCCCCCCACTCCTCCCCCACCCCCACTCCCCCACCCCTCACTCCCTCTACTCCCCGTCAAGACTGTCCAGCGTCTTTGAGAAGAGATTGTAATTCAAGTACGGGTCAGAAAATTACTTCATGGCAGATTCTAAAATTCTGTTAAATGTTATGTTTTTCACACACACACACACACACACACACACACACACACACGGTTCAGGTATATGGCCGGATATTTCGCAATTTCTTCTCTTGACATTTATAGCAAGTTTATCCCTTAAGTTTCTTCGTTATGTTGATTGTGATGATGTACTGTACTGTGTGTGTGTGTGTGTGTGTGCGTGTGCGTGTGTGTGTGTGTGTGTGCGTGTGTGTATGGAAGACTGTGTGTGTGTGTGTGTGTGTTAAAATATGTGGTGTGGTAGGATTTCAATATGAGCACACACACACACACACACACACACACACACGTTAACCCTCATACACACACACACACACACACACACGTTAACCCTCATCGACACAGCAACCGATTCTGTACATACTCGACGTAGCAGTTTCTCGGTGGGTCGATGGAAATGTCGACAACTTCCTCGTGGACCGACAGATCGACAACAAATAGATTCCATTGGCTAATTTGTCGAGCGTGTTCTTTGGCTTAAGTGTTCATTTTTCCGTTAATACTTGGAAGATAATGAATGTTACATGTGGTCGTAACAACACACACACATACACACACACGCACACACGCACGCACACACACACTTCCAATCGCTCCCTTAGAGTTCGGGTTCGATTTTGCAGACGAGTGAACCCGGTAGTAAAAAAAAAATCTGACGTACAAACCTTAATGAATCCGAGTCCTGTAAATAAATAAATACGTTAAAAATATGTGAATGTAATCAAATAAGTAAAATAAGTTAGTAAAGTTAGTAAAATAAGTTTGTAACGTAAACAAATAAAAGTAATAAATTAAGTAAAAGTATTTAAAGTAGGTAAGATCCTTACTACAAGTTAATACATCACAAAACCTGATTATTATTACAGAAAATGTACAATCATCAGAGAAAACGGATAAAGGGGTAAACTCAACTAAATCCAGTGAGAGTTTTCATCCATCACTTACCACATGAGGAATTCTCCATAAAAGGTGGATTACATTCTCTTTTCACAAGTTAAAGGGCTTATGAGGGGCGACACAGCTGATACATGAGCCGCCCCTGCCGCGCCTTCAGCACTTCCTGATGTGAAAAGGACCCTCTTCCCCCCCCTTCCCCCTCAACCTATGCCCCGTGGGGAGGTGAACACAGGCGATCAATACCAGATTTAGGGACGCCAGGCAGTGTGATGAAGTGGGAGGTTAATCTCGCCCTAGTTGTGACCGCCTTGGTGATTGAGGGAAGGCGGGGGGAGGGGGAAAGGGGGAGGGGAGGGAAGAGGGGAAGATATGGGGAGGGGGGGAGTACAGGAGTGGGGCGGGAGAAGATTGAAAGCAGGGGCCGGAGAGAAAAGGTGGAGGGGGGGGGGAGGAGAAGGTGAAAGGCAGGGGAAGGGGAAATAGGAAAGACAGGAACAGGGAGGGAAGATAGAAAAACAGGGGCAGGTGTGAAGGGAAATAGGCAGAAAGAAGGAATAAATTGTGAAGACGGGGTAAGGGGAAGGAAGAGGGGGAGAGAGGGGGAAGGGGTAGACATGCGTGAGGTGTGGATGGCGTTGTGTTACTTGTTGTACTTGGGTCTTAATAAAGGTTTTCCCCCAAATCAATTTCATTGGGTTGAGAGATAACGCCAGTCTGGTCGATAGTGTGATTTATTATTATTATTATTATTATTATTGTTATTATTATTATTATTGTTGTTGTTGTTGTTGTTGTTGTTGTTATTATTCCTTCCTCTTCCCAACGAATCACCTTTGTGTGCGAACTCACTTAAAATGGCTCACTTAAACCCTGTGACATAATACTGACGGTACTTATGGTTACAGTATTGGCCTGAGACTCTACCCTCCTCTCCTTCCCCTCATAAGACGATGAGAGAGATAAAACAAAATAATAATAACATTACGATTCCCTGAAGATGTAGGTCTAGTGTGTCTGTCTGTGTGCTTGGGGGGTGAGGGCCAGGGGGGTGAGGGGCCAGGGGGTGAGGGGCCAGGGGTGAGGGCCAGGGGGGGTGAGGGCCAGGGGTGGGAGGCCAGGGGTGAGGCCAGGGAGCGGGGGGCAGGATGAGGAATGAGGAACAAGGAGAGGGAGGAATGAGGAAAAGGGGGATGAGGAATGAGGAACAAGGAGAGGGAGGAATGGGAGATGGGAGAGGGAGATATGAGGGACAGGGAGAGGAAGAAGTGATGGACAGAGGAGAGGGAAAAAAATTTATTTGGTGTTGATAGATAGTGACCGTCTACCATCACCACGATCTAGATAACCTGAAGTTGGGCATATAGAGCATGCATAGACAGACAG